GCGTCCTCTTGCACTATTCACGCAGTCTCACCCCACACCCTTGTTTTCGCATAAAAACCACGCTCCTCTTGCAGCCCGCGGTCGTATTCTTCCAGGACAGTCACGTCAGCAAGTAGAGAAAGTGAGGGTGGGCAGACACATCGAACTTTCCCATGATATCAGAGAAATTCAGGAATGAAAATGACGTTACATACGAGGTTGATGCATTTGTGCATGTCGTACTAAGCAAGGTATAAAAACAATTGCTTTATGAGGAATTAGTTCGTACCATTGAATATTTGACGCAATAGACAAGGTGTCGCAGAAACCGATGTTGCTATAACCAAGTTTTACTGTATACAGATTTCAGCGAACACCAGTAAAATTACAGGTACCAGACGATAAAGACTAAAACGAAAACTGTAGCAGGGTCACCAAAAGTTACAGAACTCACGTTTACATCCTACAGATGGTGGGATAGGATATCGTGGCAGAGCATGACAGTTCTTGTTCTTGTGGAAAAAGGAAATGAAGTGCCAACAGTTGTTCTAGTTTATGGGATAAACGAATAAGATACTATTTTTACTTCGCTCCGACTTCTAATGTATAAACTTTGTGAGCTTATAGAGTTCAAAGCATTATTCTACACACTAAATTTTATAGACAGTCAAGTACATGTCGTTAAATGTTTCTTTACCAATACAACAGATAAATTTCCTCTATTTGAAGTGTTTATCTGTTGTATTCTATTTTCCTGTTGGCCCCCATGCGGATAAACGTGAGGTGCTGATGACTTTTATTCAGTTGAACCGATAAAAAAAGTTTTCAGAGTGATCTATTGTTGTTGGTAGCAACAGACATTGTTCTCTTATCATGTCCATAGCTACCTATGTCAATACAAGACACTTTTAGTGAATTAAGCATAGAAGAAATGTCCAAGAGTGATAATTCCATTACAGTGCGTGGAAGAAATATCGCCTTCCGAGAAAAGAGAATGGCCTTTCAGTTCAAAAGTGAAACAACTTCAAATATGTAAATGAATTGTATTGAAAGAACGGAATAGCGATGGGGCACTCAGCGAGCAGGAACACTTATTCACGGCCCAGCTCTTACGTTACACTAGATATCACATTCTTACACTAATTCTCTGAACATCAGCACACACCCTTACTTACTTACTTACTTATTTATGTAGCTGAGCCCTTCGTGAGGAGAAGCCAAATCTGCAGCTACTCAAGAATTTCCCAGCATTTTATGGAACCCGAAGGATCAGTACCGTGTTCACAAGAGTCCTCAACTGGTCCCTATCCTGAGCCAGATCAATCCAATCCATACCATCCTATCTCTCTGAGATCCATTTAAAATTGTACACCCACCTACGTCTTGGTCTTCCCTATGGTCTCTTTCCTTCTGGCTTTCCCACCAATATCTTATATGCATTCCTTTTCTCTCCCATTCGTGCTACATGCCCTGCCCACCTCATCCTCCTGACTTGATCATTCTAATTATACTTGGAGAAGAGTACAAATTATGAAGCTCCTCATTATGCAGTTTTCTCCAACCTCCTGTCACTTCGTCTCTCTTCGGTCCAAGTATTACATAGCATATACCCTTTGACTGAGAGAATTATTTAAGGATACTGAATCTTTATAAACTTGTTATATTCGTAGGACTTCTTGGACGGAATATCGGACAATTGAAAAGTCATACGATATCCTGTGCAGGATAGATAACACAACATAAGAAAACGAAACTAGCCATGTCCGAGTCTGAATGAAGTATTGAAATGTGAGAAGTGCTCAAGACCGTGCGCCACTGACTGTAAGGAATTTTCAATACGTTTTGGTTTCGAGACCGGACTGAACCAATGTCTTCCTCTCTCATCATCCCTGATAGAGTTAGTGATCGGGATTCTATCTTAATGTATGTATGTATGTATGTATGTATGTATTGGGTAGCGGGGGCTCTTTCCCGGGTGTAAAGCGGCCGGGGCGTGAAGCTGACCACTCACCTCCAACCACTGCTGAGGTCAAGAAAATGTGGATCTGTACACCCACTCCCCATATGACTTCGGGGTATGGTGCTTAGTTAAGCACAGGGACAACTTTACCTTACCAGCCTGTTGCAACACTCCCAATCTTGGAGGACCAGGATTTTTACTGTATTTCCTTCCTTTAGACAAGTGGCCTACAATGGCTAACGAGTCCTCTGAACCCGCCACGTAACCCCAGGAAGGGGCATTAACCAGTGTGACCTAGAGATCGCATGAGGCAGGGTCGCCCCTCCCTGTAGCTAGGCTATCTCTTATGAGAGTTCCAACTCGCTACCTCGTCTCCCCTAGCTTATTAAACATAATATTAAATGGAGAATAAAAATGTAAAGATTTCAGGAGTGAATAAAATTGTTGTATATGAGACCTAGGGATTTCAGGGCTGTGAATATTTACATTGTATGTACGTTATAACACCGTGTAGTCTGGTAACTTGCAAACAAAACATTTCGCAGGAATGTTCTGCCTCAATCTTAGTTAACCACACGGTGCCGTAACCCAGAAGACCACAATGTAACAGAGTTGGTGCACTCTTGCGTAGCGCTCCAGAGGTACGCCACGTGCCTTCCGTCTGTCTTCTTTTGTTTCAGTTGAACTTGCTTGTGTGTGTTGGCTTCATGCCACCGAGGCTTGATTTTCGTGCAAATTTATGTACGGCAAAATGCCTCGCCCGTCACGTCGATATACGCGTGTTAGAAACCGCGCTGTCGGGCAGGTCGTCATTTGCCGAGCCTCTTCCATGTTAAACACAAACAATACAATAAACACAATACATT